CCGGACCTTCCAGGTTGGGCGGATCTTCCTCCCAGCATAGGGAGTCGAGTCCATTGGAGGACTTCCCTGAACCCTCCACACTGGAGGCCTTAGAAGCGACAAGGGTGCTTATAGACTCTTCCCTCTCACCGCCCCCCACTCCAGCACCCTCCAGGTAACACGGGTCGTCACGGCACCAGCGGTCGAAACAATCTGAGACCATGGCACTGGAGGCCCGGGCCTACTGCCCCTCCCTCCCTGCTCCACCAGCACCGTTCGCGGCACCGATCAGTGGCACACTACCCATGGTGCCACATCAGGATGCGGCACTGGATACACCGTGGTACCATGCCCTGACACTGGCTTACACTGTTACGGCACCTACCTCTGCACCAGATGTCTGTATCACCATGCCACCACCTCCACCTCGGCACCGTGGGAAGCTGGAATCTGTGGCCAGGCATGCAGCTGCTCTGCAGGTGCCTGTGTCGGCTCCTCCCTGACCCACCTTGGAGTATACGTCTGACTCCAAGGCAAAATCCATCTCGTCTTCTTGGGGCTCCCAGTCTCAGTTGCCGCACTGCTCCCAGCACCATAGTCTGCCTTGTCCATACCAACAGCAATGGACATAACCAGTCCCAGTACCGGTGCTCCAGCAATCGTGGCCTTCTCAACCTCCGGCCCAGTGGCCCTTCTGGACTCCTTGGACATATCACCAGGCCCAGGGAAACACCCCTTCCAGGTCGGCTTCGGTCGCTTTGGGTCCTCAGGCCCCTCCTTCGGCGACCCCATTGGTCAGATCGCCAACCTCTGGCCAGTCATTGCCCCTCCGGCCAGCAGTTACCAGGTCCTTCGGGGAATGTGGCTCCGGTGAGCCAACCTCCCCCACCCTTGTCTGCTGGCACACCACAGGATCCGGCGCATTTGGGGATATCTGTCAAAGAAGTCCGAAAGGGATCATCATCCTTCTCCCTTGATGAGGCTCTGGGAGACCCTGGACCATCCATGGCCTCTATGGATGCCAGGGCCCACCTGGACCTCCTCCAACGTCTGGCCCAAAGTTTGGGAGTCTAGATGGATAGGGTGTCTGATGACTCCGTTCCCGTGGTGGACATCCTCTACGCAGACGCCCCCTCTAGAGTGGCCCTCCCGATTAACAAAACAGTGTCCAAGATCTCCAAAGCCTTGTGGCACACTCCTGCGTACATCCCCCCTATGGATAAGCGGGCTGAAAGGAGATACTTTGTCCCCCAGGTAATGAGCATTTTTTTCCCAGCCTCCACTGGGCTCTCTCGTAGTGCAAACCATGAACCAAAGAGGAGAGGCAAGGTCAGCCCGCCATTGTTCCTAAGAACAGGGAGGCCAAGAAAACTGACCTGCTAGGCCAGAAAGTCTATACATCCAGCGGTATCCAGTACTGCATTGCAAACCAACAGGTCCTCTTGTCACGGTATGCTTTTAACACCTGGGCCTCGATGGACAAGTTCGTGGACCTGCTTCCCCGAGATTCCAATGCTGAATTCAAAGCTCTCCACAAAGAGGGGAGAGTGATTTCCAGGGCAGCTCTCCAGGCGGCTTTAGATGTGGCTGATGCTGCTGCCTGAGTAATGGCCTCAGGGGTGGTCTTAAGCCGCAGTTCCTGGCTCCAGGATTCTGGGGTTCCCCCAGACCTCCAGAACACCATACAAGACCTCCCTTTTGAAGGCCCCTCACTCCTCTCTGAGCCAACTGATCAGAGGCTCCATGGCCTGAAAGACACTCTTGCTACCCTAAAATCATTGGGCATGCCCACCTCGGCTACCCAGAGGCGCTCCTTCCCCGTTAGGAACGTTCCTAGAGCACCTCATCAGGGTCCACGTACCGACTTCTCCCGCTGTAGAAGCAGAAGCAGTAATGGCAGGAACAATAGGCGTCGCCCTCGCCCAACCCCAGACCATAACCAGGAGCCCCCCAAGAAACCCTCTGGTCCACGTCAGGGGTTTTGACGAGACCTACGAGGGCAACTTTCCAGTCTCCCCATTTCTCTTCCGGGACCATTTATCCCATTTTACCCCAGCCTGGAGGTCTGTTACTTAGGACTGCTGGGTGCTCGAGATAGTGGAAAGAGGTTATGTAATCCCTTTCCACGCCCCTCCTCCTTCCCAACCCCCATCCCGTCCCTTTTCAGGGACCTCTCTCATGACCCTCTGCTTCAAGAGGAGGTCCAACATCTCCTTACAATAGGGGCAATAGAACGCGTTCCCCCCGAGTTTCGGGGGAGGGGATTCTATTCCCGTTACTTTCTGGTCTCGAAGGCCAAAGGGGGCTTGTGTCCCATCCTGGACCTAAGGTCCTTCAACTCCTTCACCGCCAAAGCAAAATTCACAATGGTAACATTGGCGTCCATAATTCTCTCACTAGCCCCCGGAGACTGGCACGCTGCCCTCGACTTAAAAGACGCTTATTTTCACATTTCCATTGCTCTCCACCACCGCAAGTTCCTCAGATTTACTGTGGGCCCAGACCACTACCAATTCATGGCCCTCCCATTTGGTATTTCCACGGCCCCTTGGATCTTCACCAAATGTATGGCGGTGGTAGCCGCTGCACTCAGGAAAAGGGGTATCCAGGTGTTCCTCTACCTAGACGACTGGCTCCTGAGGGGAGACTCGGAGTTGCATGTGCGAACCCACATCACCATAGTGCGCGCACTTTTCGATGATTTAGATCTTTTGTTAAACTTGGACAAGTCAACCCTAACGCCCGCTCCGATAATAGAGTTTGTGGGAGCCACTCTGGACTCTACCTCGGCAAGAGCCTCCCAACCCAATTCCCAGTTTCTCACAAAAGAGGCGACAGTCAGGGAACTCCAGAATTTTCCAGTGGCCACAGCCCAGACTTGCATGCACCTCCTGGGTCTCATTGCCGCCTGCACTTATGTAGTGCAACACACCAAGCTGCGCATGCGCCCGCTACAGATGTGGCTATCGCGAGTCCACAACCTGGTCGTCCATTCATGGGACAGGGTGGTGACGGTCCCCGCCCCTGTCCTTTTTGCGCTGAGCTGGTGGACCAACCAGGCAGAGGTCTCTGCGTCGGTACCATTTTCCAGGCCGTTACCGTCCACCCGCCTTGTCACAGACGCGTTGGACACCGGCTGCGGAACCCACTTAGGAGACCTTCATACGCAAGGTATGTGGTCTGCGGACAAGATCTCCGTGCATATCAACATCAGGGTGCTCCGGGATGTCCGACTGACTTGTGCGGTTTTCCTTCTCCACCTCAGGGGCAAGTCTGTCCTCATCCTATCAGACAGCACGACAGTGGTGGCGTATATAAACAAGCAAGACAGGGCCTGTTCCCTCACCTGTGCTTGGAAGCAATTCACCTGTGGGAACTTTGCATTGGGGCAGATATCCCCCTGATGGCCTAGTACCTCCCAGGCTCCCAAAATGTCCTGGTGGACAAACTGAGCAGGACCTTTGCAAGATACGAATGGTCATTGAGATGGGATGTAGCCCAATCTATCTTTCATGCATGGGGGTCTCCCCATCTGGACATCTTTGCCATAGGGCAGAACAGGAAATGCCACCGAATCTGTTCCCTCATGGGACAGGGCTCACTGGGAGATGCTCTCCTTCTCCCCTGGCTGCAGGGCCTACTAAATGCCTTCTCACCACTCCCGCTAGTCCACAAGGTCTTACTCACGGTGTGGGAGTTCAGGGCGTCTCTGATTTTAATCGCCCCAGCATAGCCCAAGCAGCACTGGTTCTCAACCCTTCTCAACCTGTCATGTGAGAGACCCATGACCTTCCCACTACTCCTGGACCTGATTACTCAGGACTTGGGCAGGCTCCGCCACCCAGACCTGCACTCACTGCATTTGACAGTGTGGAAGCTCCGTGGCTAACGGCCAAGGAACTTCAGTGCTCAGAATGGGTCCAGGAAGTCCTATTGGATAGCAGGAAGCACTCCACTAGGACCACATACCTGGCTAAGTGGAAACAGTTCTCTATCTGGGCTGCCCAGAAAGGGGTACACCCAAGGCGAGCTGTGAGTCCCTTGATCCTGGATTACCCGTTGGACCTCAGTCTCCAGGACCTCTCTTCCTCCTCCATCAAGGTTCACTTAGCGGCCATTTCAGCCTTCCACCTGGGGGAAGGGGAGAAAACTCTGTTTGCCAACCCAGTGGTCAACAGGTTTCTGAAAGGGTTGGACAGGCTCTACCCACACGTCTGCCAACCTGTCCCCCAGTGGGACCTAAACCCGGTCCTTTCCAAACTTATGGGACCCCCCGTTTTAATCTTTAGCGACATGTTCCCTTCTATACCTGTCTTATAAGGTGTCTCTCCTGGTGAATGATTAAAGGTCTAGAGAACATGACCTATGAGGGAAGACTGAAGGAATTGGGTTTGTTTAGTTTAGAAAAGAGAAGACTGAGGGGGGACGTGATAGCAATTTTCAGATATCTAAAAGGGTGTCATAGGAGGAGGGAGAAAACTTGTTCATCTTGGCCTCTGGGGATAGAACAAGAAGCAATGGGCTTAAACTGCAGCAAGGGAGGTTTAGGTTGGACATTAGGAAAAAGTTCCTAACTGTCAGGGTAGTCAAACACTGGAATAAATTGCCCAGGGAGGTGGTGGAATCTCCATCTGTGGAGATATTTATGAGTAGGTTACATAAATGTCTATCAGGGATGGTCTAGACAGTATTTGGTCCTGCCATGAGGGCAGGGGACTGGACTCGATGACCTCTTGAGGTCCCTTCCAGTCCTAGTATTCTATGATTCTAAGAAGGAACTGAGTGGGTGAGGGGGCCAGCAGGGGTATATATGGGCCGATATACCAGCGCCACTCCAGGGGGCTCCCTGCTGGCCCTAAGGGTACTGCTGAGGGAAAAACTTCCGACGACGTGTGCATTCTGCGCGCACACATCTAATTGGAATGGACATGAGCAACACATCTCGAAAAATCACAGTTACGAGGTAAGTAAGCGTTCTTTATTTTCTGAAAACAACTTATTTTTCCCATTTTGATTTTCAGAATTACCAAGCCAGTGTTGATGATCTTAGCAAAGTACTTATAATAGATCCAACTGTGGCTGAAGCAAAGAGGGAACTACAAAAGATCACCCAGTTGCTTAACCTTAAAAATGATGTTGGAACCAATAACCAACAGAAGCAAAGAAAGACAATCAAAATACAAGAGGTATTTCCATTCTTTTGCAGAGCAGGCAATATTGAAATCACACACTTAAGTTTAAAATAGGGTTTTCTTCTGTAATGTTGGCAGATATTTTGAGCTAATAATACTTACATATAGTGTGCTTGTTCATGTGCTTACTAGTTTTTAAAAACATTCCAGTGTACTCACATCTTAAATGTGGTGTGTATTTGGTGTAGGAATGTTAAAATGATTAACCAATTTAATACTAGCACTTAACTGGTTAACCATTTTAAATTAGGGCCTGTCACCTGGCCTACTACCTAGCCATAGGGACCTGCTGCTCAGCCTGCCAGCCCCCTGTCACTGAGGCTGCACTGGCCCAGTATGGCTGGCTGGCTCCAAAATTCACCAACAAGGCCCAGTGAACTGGCCTCATGCTCACTGGTATGCTTACTGGTTAATATCCCTACTTTGGTGTCCTTGTCTATAATGCTTCATGGTACATCCAAAATCCAGCAGAAGTAAACTGACCTAGGCCTAAACAAGAAACTTTCAGATGGAATTAAATTTGAGGACATGTTCCTTTAAAACAAAACAAAACAAAACACTTTTTTGTGAAAATATCTGTCTCTTTCAAATGTTGTTTTTAGGGGTCCAGAAAGAGGCCATACTATCCAAGAGTTCCCTGTGGCTCTGTGTTTTTGTCAGAGACTATGCCTTCAGTTAGATTTGGGTAGTTTGGTGGGAAAATGGAACACTAAATATGCACTGGAGTAGAGCGTGGGTGAAAAAACTACAAAATCATCAGAGAATGTTTTTTTAATATTGTATTAAGACTCAAGTGATGTAATATTACTAGGTCAGAACAACTACACTGAGTTTCTGGTGCCCAAAGAATACTGAGTCACTGTTGTTAAATAATGAGTCATTTCATGGTGAGATTTCACTGTGACTAAAAGATTGTGGTCCTGTAAGAACGTATGTCTGTCTTCCTTATTTTATTACAAGAAATGTGGCTACTGATCTAACGTATGTGACATTAGACTTTGGCCCTCTCATTTTAAAATTGTTGTATAACTTTTTTATTAAAATAAAACTGGAATTGCAGACGGTAATATAAACCATTAGGGAGCCCTTTGTACAAGTGGTCCCAAGCAGAAATCCCATCAAAATCAAAGGGGTTTTGATAACTTTGTGTAACAGGCATAACCTAGGGGTTGTTTTTTTCATTTTAACCAAAATGTACTACATATGAGATCAAGAAGCCTCCCTTAATAGTAAGAAGTAAAGAACACAATCAGATTATTGAAGAGAGAAAATACTAACAGATTGAACACAAAATTGTTATATCGTACCCGAAAACTTTCTTGAAAAGTTTTATATACATTTCAAGAACCACCACCCCCTGAATTTGTATTAATTCAATTTCATGACTTTTCATGTTTTGAAAAAATAAAAATGTTTTAGTAGATATTTACTATTATTAAAATATAGCTCTACCCTTCATCTACTATTTAATAGATAGTATGTACAGTAAAACCTGTGTTATCTGGCATGCCAGGGGATTAGAGCGTTCTGGTTATATGAGGGTCCCATCAACCTACGAAAAACCAATGGACAATAATAGTAAAACTCAAGTTTTTAATATTGGTAGGTTTGTAGTGTGAGGCAGTTGGTTTCACATTTCTATTTTGAGTTAAAGATGATTAGTACTTCTTAAATAAAAAATTGTTAAGCCAGTCATGGTAAACCAAGCCAGGCCTGTGCGCCTGAAGCTGTGACAGTATTGTGGCTGGGGGCAATGCCAGTTAACAAAGTTTTCTGGTTAACAAGCGTGCCGGATAACAAAGCTTTCACTGTATATTTAAAATTATTACGCTATTGATCGTATATTTAGTTTCTGCCAACAACTTACAGCTCTTTCCTTGAGAAAAAGATACAACATACTAATGATAAGTATAAAATATGCACTGTGGACTAAGAAAAACAACCTTTTAACATGCATGAATATATTAGGATACCATTTCTGGAAAGGGAAAAGTGGAAAATAAAAAGGAGAACAGCCATCCTGTTCCAAAAAGTCTTCCCACAAGATGAGGAAAGTGGTAAACTCTAATTTAGTGGCATCAGTGCAGGACATACTGTCAGATGATTTATGAAACTTGAGGTAATATATATGTCAAAACTAAAATGATTTGTGTTCCTATGAAGGTTAATGAGATAAATGAAGAAGAAAGCAAGGCTAATACCTCAGACGATGCTGTGCTGAATTGCCATGTTGCCAAAGGAGCAGCTGAAAACAGTGTGCCATTGAAAATCTCTGAAAAACTACTCATTTCAGAACCATCTAATGCCTATGAGTTTGGTCAGATTGTAAATGCAGTGAATGCCAAGAGGGATGAAGCTGCCTGTGCAGATCTTTTAACCATTATTGATCCCCAAAAATTGCCAGTGCTGCTAAGTAACAAACTAGACGGGAATACCTTTCTGATCTTCATGCAGGCATTGGAACGTCATCTACTTGGAAAAAACCCTGGCCTTGTGTATCAGCACCTTCTTTATCTGAGTAAAGTTGAGAGGTTTAAGGTAAGAGCATATATTCAATGCAGTTTCTCTCTGGCAATGTCAAGAAACTCAAAATGTAAAAAACTCAATTCAGTATAAAGATTGTTAAATTTAGCACTTAACAGAAAAACAGGAGATTACACCTATCTGCACTAACTATTCAAAATATTTTTTCAGGTAGTGCTGACACTTCTTAGCAAGAATGAAAAACAGCAGGTTCAGGAGTTGTTTGACTCTCTGTCAAAAAAGCAAAATCACCAATTTTCTTTAGAAGACCTGGAGAGCCTTAAAAGGGTTTATGAACTCTAAACAGAATGTTAACTTTTGCATGTATATAGTTGATGTTGGTAGACTGGATGTATGAACTATGAAGACTTGTAGGGGATAAAGTCAGTCTTTTACCTGGATTGTTGAGCATGCTGTATTTTGTACAGTATGTGCACATTTAAAATCTGCTGCTGTTTTATCTTGCATTTGTATATATTTGTAACCTATTGTGTGCTAATGCACATCTTCATATTTAATACATAGGTCATATTATTTGATGATATAATGATTAAATTAGAATATATTGATTTTATATATAGAGTGTAAAAACATTCTAATGGTACAGCATGTGTCAGACTTCTAGCCATTCATTTGTCACCTCATTTTAGGTCAGATTATATTTTCTAATGCTAAGAAGTGTCCTCAAGATAAGTGGGTTATTAGTTAGAAATAGCTTTACTAAAATGTGGGCTTGTCTACATGGTGAGTTAGTCTACATTAGAGGCATGTAAACTCTATTGCACATTGATGTGCACCACAGTGGCCCATGTGAAGCCTTCTAATGTGTATTAAAAATTTCCTAATGCCCACTAATGTTGTGTTGTTTGAAACAGTGCTACAATAACGCTCACTAGAGAACCTTTAGTCCATGCTGGCAGAGTCAGTGCAGGCTAATTAGTGCACCATATACTAGTGTGCACTACAATTCGCACTCCTCTAGTGCTAACACATCACATAAACAAGCCTTGTGTTTGCAAAAAATATTCTGTTAACTTTTTCTGATGTTAAATAATTACATCTTTCTTGGAATGTACAAAACATATTTTTATACTCTGTGCCACACAGGTTAACAACAAAGATGAATCAAAGTAGACTAGTTTGTCATGGAACTCTTTAAAGCAATATAATTGTTAAATTGTGAAGTTTCTGAAATAGGGAAGAGGAGAATAATTTATTGTCAAATGTGGGGAAATTTTTTGACAGGATTGCTGATACTTTTGAAAACAGTACTTATTTGTGGTGACAATGTTGTAGTGATTGACCCTTCATAGTATGCTATTATTGAAATACTAGGTGCTAGTTTAATATTTTATTTGGTTGTAATTAATTTTTGCTTAATTTATAAGGAGAATGTGTACTCCTGAGGGAATTCTGCACAAAAAAATTAAATTATGTGCACAGTTTTTTAAGGTTATGCAAAATTCTGCATATTTTGTCAAAGTGCAGGATCCAGCCTGGCAGGGAGAAGCTAGACTACTGGTTGCATGAAGGTTGGAGATCACCCTAGAACTTCTACCCAAGAGGAGACACACTTGGCAGTGAGGATTCACTCAACCCTGACACAGCACAAGGGCTGGGTCTGCCCTCAAAATAGCCCAGGGTCCTGTTCCTCAATGCTAGATGTCACAATATAGCAAGTGAAAAGGATAATCTCTCTCACTCCCGGCCCTAGTCCCAACTCAGGTATGAGGCAGGCAGGCTCTACCCAGCATGATACAAATGTGGAGTGGCTTAGTGTTGGGGGAGGTTCAGGTGTGGCGTGAGAGTGTTCTGGGCTGGGTAATATTAGTGCAAACTATGCAATGTGGAGGCCTAAATGTGGGGGATTTGGATGCGCAGGTGTTCCTTTGGGGGTTCCAGCTGGAGAGGAAATGGGACTCTGCGGGGAAGTCCAGGTGAAGGTGGTTGGGGCTCAGCGGGGGAGGGGGGGAGGTGCAGCTGGTTACAACTTGTTGGAGTGAGGGAGACTTTGGGGAGTAGTCTGGTTGTGAGGGGAGGGGCTCAGTAAGTATCCAAAGGCATGGAGGTTGAGAAGATGGGGAGCACATTCCTGTACTATAACCCTCTCTATCTGTGGCAGAGGAGTGATGAGGGCAGGAAGTAGATGGGTTGGAGGTGAGTTTCTACTCTTATTTATCTCTAATCCCAAAGACGACAGACTTTTAGTGCCTCAGTGAGTTCGTCTGTTGTTTCAAGTTCAAGATGATGGTTGTGACCTCTGTAATCCCCTTCATTAGATCCTCATCACTTGTTTGTGGCTCTAGAATCGCAGGACACCTATTTCTACCTGTTCATACATCCATCATATAGGAACTCTCTCAACTTGATGAATTGTGAGCGGCCTGTGGGCTAGAAGTTCTCCGCCCTTGCTGTAATTTTTGATGTTGCAAAATGTGATAACCAGTTCTTACCCAAGCCAAGATTTCCTGTTGCTCCAGCCCCAGCCTGATTCAGCAATCCTGTCTGTTACTGACTAATGTAATGATGATTCTCTTGGGTATGGAATCATCAAGAGCAAGACCTATAATTCACTAGTGGTGCAGCTGCAGTGGCTGTCATGACAATGGAATTTGAGAGCTGCTCTTGTGCCTGTTGCTTGCTAGGGGTGCAGAACGTGCCTTTTCTAAAGGGGTCAAATTTATGCTAAATAATTCATATGCAGTTTGTTCCCAGGCCCATGACTCAACTGCAAAGACCACATTTTAGCAGAACTTCGCTAATGCAAAGTTCACTGACATCAGTGTTCAACATCTAACCTGCTACATGTCAAGCAACTACTCTTCCTCCCTTTAAATCATTAAAGCAGCATGTGATGCGTTTTGCTATTGATGTGATCCTGAAAGCCCAAATGGAATGTACATTTTAAAAACCTTTAAAAACCTTTAAAAACATTTCAAAAACCTTTAAGCAGCTGGCTGCTAAGTCAGGAGATTTGTCTACACATCACAGTTGTTGGTGTAACTTATGTTGCTCAGGGTACCATTCAAACACCTCGCCCCCCACCCCAGTGTGACAGACATTATACTGTCAGTAGTGGCCAATGGGAGCTGCCTGTTTGCAGGCTGGACAATGCATGAAGTGCCCCTCCCTGAGGGCTCTCAGCATTCAGAGAAACAGTGCCCTCTGCAGCCCATGCAAAAGGCAGGGAGCCTGGCCGAGGGACCTGCTGGCTAGGAGCTGCTCAGGTAAGCACCTCCTGGCTACAGCCTGCTTCTGGCACCCCAGCTCCTCCCTCCCCCAACTCTGTCCCCCATTCCATGTAACCCAAACCCTCTGCACCTATACCCCCTCCCAGATCCTGCACCCCAATCCCTTGCCCCTGGTCATAATCCAAGCCCATGCAATCCCCTTCTGCCCCAGGTCACAACCCTCTCCTAGACCCTGCACCCTTCTTCCAGGTTTTAACTGCCTCCCACACCAATCCTTTACCCCCAGTCACAACCCAAACTCCTGCATCCCCTCCCGCCCCTATTAACTCTCACCCAGACCCTTCACCCCAATCTCCTGCCCCAGGTCACAGTCTCCTCCCAGAACCTACACTCCAGGCCTCTTGCAACCAGACACAATCTATCTCCTCCACCCAAAACTCCTCCCAGATCCCACACCCCCAGCTCCCATTTGCAACCAGCCTCTATCCCAGACCTTGCACATCCTCCATTAACATTATGGACAATTGCAGTCCTTGACCACTTACCAAATTCCTGGAATAGCCCCAATCAAAAAATATTGCTCACCTCCGCTGTAGACTGTAATCGTGTTTTCATAATAAAACAGTGCAGCCCTTTTGACTGTAGAGACAACCTTCCAAGTGTACATGCTGCAGCTGCCTAGCATCACTATTGCTCTGAAGCAGAGTGAATTTAACAACTGGACAGTGCCATTGCTGTGGTGTGGAACATAGTAGCAATCCTGCCACTTTCCGGCTTTGGACCCCAGCAGCCTCAAACCCAGGCACTTTAATTTAGGAGAGAGGTCAACTTTCCCCACCCCCCATCAATAAAAATCTACAGCTGAGTAGCTGAATTTAACAGGAAAAACTTAAACAACAAATAGACTAGCAGCACCTTAAAGACTAACAAAACATGTAACCCACTTCTTCAGAGGGAGACTTCTCCAACTCAGCAGTCATGAAGCAGGAGTGACAAAGTAAGGGCCCCAGAGGTCTTGAATGCACATGGCATGGCTTCCCTCCGGCTGTGTCTACATTGGTGTGATCTTGTGCAAAAGCAGTCGCTTTTGCGCCAAAACTTGCTGCCTGTCTACACTGGCCGCGAGTTCTTGCGCAAGAACACTGACGTTCTAATGTATAAAATCAGTGCTTCTTGCGAAATAACTATGATGCTCCCGCTCAGGAATAAGCCCTCTTGTGCAACTGTTCTTGCGCAAGAGGCCAGTGTAGACAGGCAACATGAATTTCTTGCACAAGAAAGCCCAGTGGCGTGAGAGTGTTCTGGGCTGGGTAATATTAGTGCAAACTATGCAATGTGGAGGCCTAAATGTGGGGGATTTGGATGCGCAGGTGTTCCTTTGGGGGTTCCAGCTGGAGAGGAAATGGGACTCTGCGGGGAAGTCCAGGTGAAGGTGGTTGGGGCTCAGCGGGGGAGGGGGGGAGGTGCAGCTGGTTACAACTTGTTGGAGTGAGGGAGACTTTGGGGAGTAGTCTGGTTGTGAGGGGAGGGGCTCAGTAAGTATCCAAAGGCATGGAGGTTGAGAAGATGGGGAGCACATTCCTGTACTATAACCCTCTCTATCTGTGGCAGAGGAGTGATGAGGGCAGGAAGTAGATGGGTTGGAGGTGAGTTTCTACTCTTATTTATCTCTAATCCCAAAGACGACAGACTTTTAGTGCCTCAGTGAGTTCGTCTGTTGTTTCAAGTTCAAGATGATGGTTGTGACCTCTGTAATCCCCTTCATTAGATCCTCATCACTTGTTTGTGGCTCTAGAATCGCAGGACACCTATTTCTACCTGTTCATACATCCATCATATAGGAACTCTCTCAACTTGATGAATTGTGAGCGGCCTGTGGGCTAGAAGTTCTCCGCCCTTGCTGTAATTTTTGATGTTGCAAAATGTGATAACCAGTTCTTACCCAAGCCAAGATTTCCTGTTGCTCCAGCCCCAGCCTGATTCAGCAATCCTGTCTGTTACTGACTAATGTAATGATGATTCTCTTGGGTATGGAATCATCAAGAGCAAGACCTATAATTCACTAGTGGTGCAGCTGCAGTGGCTGTCATGACAATGGAATTTGAGAGCTGCTCTTGTGCCTGTTGCTTGCTAGGGGTGCAGAACGTGCCTTTTCTAAAGGGGTCAAATTTATGCTAAATAATTCATATGCAGTTTGTTCCCAGGCCCATGACTCAACTGCAAAGACCACATTTTAGCAGAACTTCGCTAATGCAAAGTTCACTGACATCAGTGTTCAACATCTAACCTGCTACATGTCAAGCAACTACTCTTCCTCCCTTTAAATCATTAAAGCAGCATGTGATGCGTTTTGCTATTGATGTGATCCTGAAAGCCCAAATGGAGGACACATTTTAAAAACCTTTAAAAACCTTTAAAAACATTTCAAAAACCTTTAAGCAGCTGGCTGCTAAGTCAGGAGATTTGTCTACACATCACAGTTGTTGGTGTAACTTATGTTGCTCAGGGTACCATTCAAACACCTCGCCCCCCACCCCAGTGTGACAGACATTATACTGTCAGTAGTGGCCAATGGGAGCTGCCTGTTTGCAGGCTGGACAATGCATGAAGTGCCCCTCCCTGAGGGCTCTCAGCATTCAGAGAAACAGTGCCCTCTGCAGCCCATGCAAAAGGCAGGGAGCCTGGCCGAGGGACCTGCTGGCTAGGAGCTGCTCAGGTAAGCACCTCCTGGCTACAGCCTGCTTCTGGCACCCCAGCTCCTCCCTCCCCCAACTCTGTCCCCCATTCCATGTAACCCAAACCCTCTGCACCTATACCCCCTCCCAGATCCTGCACCCCAATCCCTTGCCCCTGGTCATAATCCAAGCCCATGCAATCCCCTTCTGCCCCAGGTCACAACCCTCTCCTAGACCCTGCACCCTTCTTCCAGGTTTTAACTGCCTCCCACACCAATCCTTTACCCCCAGTCACAACCCAAACTCCTGCATCCCCTCCCGCCCCTATTAACTCTCACCCAGACCCTTCACCCCAATCTCCTGCCCCAGGTCACAGTCTCCTCCCAGAACCTACACTCCAGGCCTCTTGCAACCAGACACAATCTATCTCCTCCACCCAAAACTCCTCCCAGATCCCACACCCCCAGCTCCCATTTGCAACCAGCCTCTATCCCAGACCTTGCACATCCTCCATTAACATTATGGACAATTGCAGTCCTTGACCACTTACCAAATTCCTGGAATAGCCCCAATCAAAAAATATTGCTCACCTCCGCTGTAGACTGTAATCGTGTTTTCATAATAAAACAGTGCAGCCCTTTTGACTGTAGAGACAACCTTCCAAGTGTACATGCTGCAGCTGCCTAGCATCACTATTGCTCTGAAGCAGAGTGAATTTAACAACTGGACAGTGCCATTGCTGTGGTGTGGAACATAGTAGCAATCCTGCCACTTTCCGGCTTTGGACCCCAGCAGCCTCAAACCCAGGCACTTTAATTTAGGAGAGAGGTCAACTTTCCCCACCCCCCATCAATAAAAATCTACAGCTGAGTAGCTGAATTTAACAGGAAAAACTTAAACAACAAATAGACTAGCAGCACCTTAAAGACTAACAAAACATGTAACCCACTTCTTCAGAGGGAGACTTCTCCAACTCAGCAGTCATGAAGCAGGAGTGACAAAGTAAGGGCCCCAGAGGTCTTGAATGCACATGGCATGGCTTCCCTCCGGCTGTGTCTACATTGGTGTGATCTTGTGCAAAAGCAGTCGCTTTTGCGCCAAAACTTGCTGCCTGTCTACACTGGCCGCGAGTTCTTGCGCAAGAACACTGACGTTCTAATGTATAAAATCAGTGCTTCTTACGCAAGAACTATGATGCTCCCGCTCAGGAATAAGCCCTCTTGTGCAACTGTTCTTGCGCAAGAGGCCAGTGTAGACAGGCAACATGAATTTCTTGCACAAGAAAGCCCAATGGCTAAAATGGCCATCAGAGCTTTCTTGCGCAAGAGAGTGTCTACACTGGCATGGATGCTCTTGCACAAAAGTACATCTCTTGCGCAAAGGCACATGCCAGTGTAGATGCTCTCTTGAGCAAATACTTTAACGCAAGAGTTCTTGCATTAAGAGTATTTGCGCAAGATCATGCCAATGCAGACGTAGCCTTCCTCTATGCTAACTACACAGACGACACTAACTCCTGGCTAAATGGGTGGTCTCTTTGATACCTCTAAATCAGTGGTCTCCAATTTTTAAGCACAAGATCACTTTTTGAATTTAAATGCAATCCAAGATCTACCTCAAACCCAAATACTCTTGCCCTGCCTCCTTTGTGCTCCTTCTCCAAGGCCCTATCCCTGCTCACTCCATCCTCCCAACATCCTCCATCCCACCCCCCTCTTCCCTCACTTTCACCAGACGGGGCAGAGGGTTGGGGTACAGGCTCTGGTCTTGGATTAAGGGATTTGAGAGTGGCTCTGAGCTGACCTTGGAGCAGGCAGTTGGGATACCAGAAGGGGTTCTAGGTGCAGGCTTTGGAAGGGCGCTTGGATACGGGGGTACTCGGGGCTAGCGCAGGGGTTTGGGGTACAAGAGGCAGTTTCTGACTGGGTAGGATTTTGGGATGTAGGCTCTGACTGGACACTGCTTATGTGAGGTGGTTTCTGGGTGGTAGTTGAGTGGGGCTAAGGCCGGCTCACCCCT